GCCCCCTCCTCATGGCCCTCCCGTCCTCCGCTCAGCCCTGCCTGTGGACGTCCCCGGCCGCGGGACGGTGCTGGTGGACATCGGCTACGGCGGCACCTTCTACGCGCTCCTGAGCGCCGAGCAGCTGGGCCTGGATGTTTGCACGGCCAAGACCAGGGAGCTCGTGGAGGCTGCGAGCGCCGTGACGGAGGCGGTGAAGAAGCAGGTACAGCGGGTCCCGCTGCGCCTGGCCATGGGGAAGCCGCTGCATGAGCAGCCCTTTGGGTGCTCAGTGCTTCCATCCCTCCTCATGGGATAAAGAACAGCCAGAATTTATGTATTTCTGGCGCTTTTCTTCCTGTCCAGCCACATTACGTTGCTGGAAATGTGTATAATCTCTGCCATCAGGAGCCAGAGGTGGGGATTTCCCCTAGGAGGTCTGGCCACAGGTACAACAGGCCTTCCCAGAGGAAGCAGCCCTTTGGGTGCTCAGTGCTTCCATCCCTCCTCATGGGATAAAGAACAGCCAGAATTTATGTATTTCTGGCGCTTTTCTTCCTGTCCAGCCACATTACGTTGCTGGAAATGTGTATAATCTCTGCCATCAGGAGCCAGAGGTGGGGATTTCCCCTAGGAGGTCTGGCCACAGGTACAACAGGCCTTCCCAGAGGAAAGATGCTGTAAAATCACCTGCCTTGGCCACTTGGCCTTGCATATTTGTTTATCTTGAGGAGCAAAGTCGGCAGTGCAGCAGTAGTGTCTTGAAAGAGCCGTAGTGCTGGTTAGTGCTGGCTGCCTCCGTGCTGTCGTTCATGGAGCTGTTTGCGCTGCTCAGTTCAAGCCTCGGCACCCTGAAAGCGAAGACCTGGCGTTCCTGTACGGCACCATCCTGACGGATGGGAAGGACGCCTTCAGCGAGGAGCCCACCACCAACATCTGCGTGTTTGCAGATGAGCAGGTACCCGCGGGACCTCCTTCCCCTGCTACTTGTGTCCCCTGCAGGTACGAGTGACTGTTCTGTTCATGTTTTGGGCTTCTGTTTCATATTTTCCCTTCTGCTACAGCGATCGTTGTCTTTGAAGATCTGAGGGACCTTTTGCAGATGAGGTTTTAGTTCCTAATGACAGAAGTGCCTCTGTGCATGTTAGATGGCAGCATTTTATAAACGCTCGTACCTATGTCCTGTAGGTAGGAATCTCCCAGGGATGAGGGACTTGGGACATGGGATATCAACAAGACACACAGTAAATTGTCTTGAAATCCTAGTCTAGGAAACCTGTGCTGGGAATAAAAACATAAGCAGAGCTAAAGAGAAGAAAAGGGGAATAAAATTTTATCTTTGCAACGGATAAGGTAAAACTGTGTAAATTTGAGGGGAAGTTTAGATGAGAGCTCTCAGCAGTGAGGAGTGTGAAGCATTGGAGAGGATCACTGGCCAACACAGCATTTTTGGAGATTTTTAAAAGGGGCTGGCAGCAGCTCTCACAACCAGGATGATGAGAACGGATCTGACCTTGACACATAAGAATGGGGAAAGTGGCTTCTGTCTCTTCTGTCTCTTTATTTATTGAGGCCACCATAGTTGGCCAAGACTCCTCATAATCTAACAACACTCCAGACCCGTCTGGTTTGTTTTTTCATTCTGGATCGATTGTGATTCTATACCAACCATTGGGTTAGGGAGATTTTGCCAAAATGCAATAGATGACAGAGTTAAGGGGAGCAGTATTCTTTCCTATTAAAAATTCAAACTGCTAGAGCTCTCTTCTGAACATAGGTTGACCGAAGTCCAACAGGTTCAGGAGTGACAGCCCGCATTGCCCTGCAGTATCACAAGGGGCTCATCCAGCTGAATCAGACCAGAACCTTCAGGAGCAGCACGACGAGGTCCCTGTTCACTGGGAAGGCAGTGAAGGCAAGTGGTTTGTGCTCCTCGAGGACTGGCTGGAAAACTGCTCCATGCCTTGGCTTTATGGAGGAGCTGAAAAGCCTTTCTATGCCCAAGGAAGGGCTGTGCCCAGAGGGAGAGGTGTGGGAATCTTGCCTTCCCGCCAGCATCAGGCTGTGGGATTTCTTATTAAGGAAGCAAGCAAGGGGATAGCAAGACCTTGTTCTGTTGTGTGGCTTCACTGTAAATCCCCTCTTGGCCATCTAAGAAGGACTGGGGTGAGAAATGTCTCCGATGCTGATGTAAATAAATTGTCACCTCTGTCCTAATCCTAATCTCTCTGCAGGAAACCAGGTTTGGGGACCACAATGCTGTTGTTGTGGAGGTCTCCGGAGAAGCCTATTACACTGGTACCGCCACCTTCACTGTCGAAGAGGAGGACCAGCTGAAATACGGGTTTTTCTTCAAGTGAACAGTGGCAAATTCTCACTGATGGGCTTAGACTTCTACCTGTACATTTCCCTAGACTTTGCTTCTTCCCACAGCCCATTGCAATAATCAGGAGCAGCCTTTAGTGGTATGACAGCATCTGCAGTGTTTCAGGATGACAGGCCACGTTCCTCTGTTGTGATTAGCGTATTTGAATGCAAGCCAAAGACTGATCTGAGATGATCTCTTAATAATTAATTACTCACAGAAGATGGAGCTGAGCTTGGACAGCTGTCCTCAGCGTAGGTGCCTTAAAAATGTCTCTGAATTACTAATTTCTAAATCAGATTCCTATTAAACGCCAGCTGAAAATACTGCCTTTCTCCTCCTTTTTAATGCCTATACCTCATTTCCAGCGCTGGTGCTGAGTGTGTCACTGCTGTTCTGGACTGCCCGCCGCTTGCTTCAAGTGCAATTGCACTTGCTTCACCCCTGCAGAATCCATGTATGTCCCAGTGCTTGATACCAGTGTTTTGGTCACTAATTCCTAGGATCCTCCTGTATTCTGTGTGTTAATGTTACACTGATCTCCTGAACCTTCCTTGACTTGCTTATCTCGGGCCATTGGCTGAAGCTTTAGCTGTTAACTTTCAACAGGGGCTAGATTTGAAGGTTTGAGCTATTGGGACCTTTGGTTGCAGAGTTATTTACTTAGGATTTTGTCTCAACCAGGTGGCAATTGCAGAGCAGAGGGTAATCAGTGCTTGCTTTGTCAGAGCCCATCAAGGGGGAGCTGCCAGCAAAAACCAAACTAAACCTGGACTGTGGGCAGCCCATCTGGGGTCTGTAAACTCCACTGCGTTCAGCTGAGCAGAGTGGTGTTTGCTCGCTGAAGGCATGGAAGAACCATCCTCTCCTCAGTTTAGAAGGAGCAAATGGTACTGAAGAGCTTGGAAAAGATGAAGATAAGAAAAGCTAGAGAGGAATTTCTTCTGTCAGGGTCAAATTGAAGGTTACAGCTCCTGACAGGAAAGAAGCAGAAAATCCATGAGTTCAGAGGGCAGCTGCATTTGCAGCGTACAATTCTAGCCTGGCTTCCAGGACACTTGCTCCTAACTTTTCTGCTGATTTCCTGTCTCAGCCTGGCTAAATCCCATATAGGCTCTGGTCCGCAGGAAGCAGATGAGAGAAAAGCATCCTCTGCACTTACAGAAGCAAACTCAGCCGTTTCTGGCCAAGTTCTGCACTACGGGTCCTGGTTCCGCTGTGTCAGCCGCTCCGCACTGATGGCCCCGGGGTGCCCTTGAGCTCCTGATGGCACCAGGATTTGGTCTTGGCTCCCTTCACAGGGGAAGCAGCAGCACGTCCTGGCCCGCGGAGCTGCCTCTGCAAGGCCTGGGGACGGGGCAGTGCTGCTCCCTTTGCTCCCCATAGAAAAGCAGTTGAAAATGCAGTTTCTTTAACATTCATTAACATTCAAGTGACATTTTAAATGTGGCGGCGGTTTCCCGGCATCTGAATAAGCTGCTGTTGTGCCTTTTGGGGACAGCTCTTCCCAGGAGGAGTGTTGGGCTTCCCTGCCCCTTGCCATGTGCCTGGGCCTGCTTTTGAGCCTCTTCTGCCACCACGTCCCCCCTGCTTGGGCTCCAAGGAGAGATCCGGGGGAATAAAAGTGGCGATAGTGGAGTCACAGCTCTGTAAGCCTGGAGAAAATAGGAAAATTCTGGTTAAAATTGTATTTATTTCACCATCCTAGATCCTGAAGAATGGAAAAGCTCCTGCTGTGATGACGAGCCTCGTGGTGTGCCCCATGGCTTGTTACCTCCCAGCTCCCCAGTTCTGTTCTGGCATCCACTCAGCAGTGCAGCAAATTATCTTTTTTTTTTTTTTTTTTTTTATTTTTAACGTCTGCTTTCTGAAGCCACACACTATCCGTGTGATCATGCTACCTAATTGCAAGGTAATCTGTGATTACCAAATTATCACCCCAGTCTTTTCCTCAGGGAAAACAGGCACTGACACAGCTTTGGAAACCACACTTCCCTCAAGTTCTCCATCTTCCCTCAAAAAGTGAGGAGAACAGGAGCAGAGCCGAGCATAAGTAGTATCTGGGGAGGCAAAGGGCCAAGCTGCTACATTTGGAGCTGGGCAGTGTTTCCTCTCACTTGCTTTAGAGCTGTGGATTCACAGGGGTGCCAGACTCTCCTGCCCCTTTGGTGCTGACATTTGTCTCTGTCTATGGGGACGAGGGATCGCACATTGGTGGGATAGGTGAAAAAAAATGGCATGGGGTAGAAAACTGTCTATGCTGACCAGCAGCAAGGTTGGATGGCTCTGGAGGAGCTGGTGGACAGGGTCCAGCTCCCCCATTCTGTATGTGGAGCCACGGGACCCATCTTGGATGTGTGTGTGTGGAGGGGTTGGTCCCTGCCCCATGTGGGGCCATGGGGACCTGTCCCCTGTAGGGCCACGGGGATCATCCTGGTTGTGCCGGGGTTCCCTTATGGGGCTGTGGGGACCTGTTGTGGCTGGGGAAAGAGCAGGGGGACAGCCCTGTGCTGTGTGGGGCCTTGGGGACTGATCTGGGGGGCAGGGAGATCCCAGGCCCATATGGGGCCACTGGAGTGCCAGTCCCTTATGGGGCCATGAGGACCTGTTGTGGCTGGGGGGGGGGCTCG